TAATACAATATTAAAATAGAGGCGAGACTTTTAATACAATAAAATGTACGTTACATAATTACACAAGTTGAATATATCACAGATCCTGTATATCATTTAACACTTCAATTTATAACATTTACAGCAAAGCGCAATTTATATATTGCGGCCAACTGACCTATACTATTTTAATACTTATAAATAATAATAATCAAATTAATAACATAATATTTGTATAGGGCTCGCTCATATTCTAATTTAAAGAGCAACAATCTATATACCCTATATACGGATTTTAATTGCATTTTGATATACATATTTAATTAATTTTTGCTGGTCTTGCATATCATTTATTTGCAAAAATAACAGGAGCTACTTAAGGGTCTATATGGTAGAATTGCCTAATTAAAGAATGCTTGCCATCGAAGGGCTCTCTTGGTCTATCGGCGAGGATTAAAGAACTGCTCAAAAATAGAAAATTATTACAGTATTTATAATATGAAATTGGATATAAAGTAGTGAAATCATTAAAAAAAATCTATAAAAATAGTTACATGAAATGCGACAGCTAAAAAGATTAAATGGAATTAAACTACACAGGAGGCCGCTAACTGTATTATACAATATTATACACAGGAGCGCACATCACGTTAGACACAGAACGCGCATCGCGTATGACACAAAATGGCTTCTAAATTTTCAATGTCGCAACTCTTTCTATCTATGGCTCTGGTCGATCCATGGTTGAAAGTGGGGGGAGGGACGAAATGAAAAATAAAGCCTTTGGCCGTACGCCCAAGCCTTAATTGGGGACCAGAAGGCGAAGCTCCCGGAAGGTCTGGCGCCTATAGCCTTTCAAATGATTTTAGCTGAGACAAAACACGTGTATAGTTGTCTCAGATTTTAGGCAATGCAATTAACATTTATTTCCATACGAAATTTTCAAAGTATCCAGTGGCGGATCCAGTAATTTAAAATAGAGCTGGGCCCAGAGAGGTACTTTTACAGATGGAGAGAGTAGACCACCTCAGCCCCACCATGCTTTGGGGCTTAGGTAAGAAATTTTATGATTATGCCACTTCCAGTTGGTCGGAAATTGCACTCTCAGACTGAATTTGAAAATAATTTCAATATATTCAAGGGGCTGGCTGGGCCCTTTGAATCTGCCACTGAAATACTCATCATAAAAAAAATTGAATTATCCTTTTAGTCATAATTATGCCCGCTTATATATTTCGTGCAAACTAACATTTATTAAAATAATGATTTATTATCTACTGATTAGCTTGTGACGTATTCAAAATTCGAACAATGAAAAACAAATAAGATAAGCTTAAAACATTTTAATAGTCTTTTTGCATGTACAGTATTTTAAAAAAATCAATCAAGAGGTTTTTGCTTTTCTCCTGTTTTTGAATTTCACTTTTGTGTAATATTGCGACTACACTATTGTGAGTGGAAATAATGCCATCTAATGTACGAACAAAATATATTCAAGGGGCTGGCTGGGCCCCTTGAATCTGCCACTGAAATACTCATCATAAAAAAAATTGAATTATCCTTTTAGTCATAATTATGCCCGCTTATATATTTCGTGCAAACTAACATTTATTAAAATAATGATTTATTATCTACTGATTAGCTTGTGACGTATTCAAAATTCGAACAATGAAAAACAAATAAGATAAGCTTAAAACATTTTAATAGTCTTTTTGCATGTACAGTATTTTTTAAAAATCAATCAAGAGGTTTTTGCTTTTCTCCTGTTTTTGAATTTCACTTTTGTGTAATATTGCGACTACACTATTGTGAGTGGAAATAATGCCATCTAATGTACGAACAAAATATGACGCCCAGTGAAAATATTGCTTCTTAGATT